GCCTTTGATCAGGCAAAGTGGCAAGGTCTCAGGAGAGGGAGCTTGGGAAAGCAGTTGACATTAGTAAAATTAGAGATGAAGTACCACCAGACTTTTAAAAATATCTGAAATTAAAAAGTGTGATGGAAAGAGGGAAGGGAGGGAAAAGTGAGTAAATGTATTTAGAGAACCAAGTGACCATTTGAATAATTGTTTTAACTGACGTTAAAATGGATGAGACATTTGTGATTTTCCCACTAATTAGGCAATTGAGTGAATCAAAGCAAATAAGGAAAATTCCATACCAGCTCTGTACTTGTATATTTTTGCTTCCTTTTTAATTAATAGGCTTTCTCATTAGCTGCTACAGATTGACAGGAAAAACTCAGCAGCATTCAATTTCCATATACTCCCTTGAATCTCCTACCCCAAGTTTCCATTATTATAATATCATGCATTATTGTGGTACATTTGTTGCAATTGATGAGCCATTGTTAATGCTTTATTATTCATTAAAATCTATGGTTTACCTTTGGGTTCACCCTTTCTGTTGTACATCCCATGGGTTTTCACAAAGGTATGACACTTCCAGATTATTATATAGAATAGCATTGCTGCCCTAAAATATCCACCTGTGCTCCACCTATTCATTCCTCCCTACCACCTCCATATCCCTTGCAATCACTAATCTTTCTTGCTGAATTTATAGTTTTATCTTTCCCAGAAATTCATATAGCTACAATCATATTTGGAATTGAATAAGTTCTACCATATTGGTGTGGCAGGCAGGGGAGTGGTGGCGGTGGGGGGGGGGGGGGTTCCTGAAAGCAGGGCCCTGTTGAGATGTGCCCCACCCCTGTGCCTGTTGCTGGACCAGATTCCCCTCAGTGCTGCAGCTAGCCCCACACCATCCAGGGAGCCTCCAAGAGCCTTGAACCTTTGTTTCCCCAACTCTAGGCCAACCATCCCCCAACCCACCTGCCAAAGTCCTGTGAAGGACAGGAGAAAGTGAGGACAGGGCACCCTATATCACTGAGGCCTCAGCCATCCTTCTTTATCCCCCTGGTTCCCAGGACAGAGCTGGATCTGAAGCCCAGACACAGCTGCTAAGGCAAGGCCTGGGCCTGGGCTTCTTACCCAGTATTGGGGTAAGAAAACCTGAGCTATAATTAATGAATTGCCAGAGGCCCACTCTGGACAAGTTAGAAAGTTAAACATTTGGAAACAATACCATATTTTTGTGAGTTTGACCTCTAACAACAGCCTTATAAGGTTCCCACATTGAAAAACAGAGAAAAGTCACTACAACCATTTGGTAGGAAAATGGGAAAATAAAGCATTTTGAAATATACCCAGCATTCTAATCTTCTTGGCCAGATCTGCCCTCAAGTCAAACTATTTAAAGAGAGCTTGATTTATTGGAGTTTACCAGAGTTTACCAGAAAGAAAAAATACCCATCCCAGCCTCTGATAGCTTTCCAGGTGGGGGAAGGGGAATAAGCACTTTCAGACTTTTCCGGCCTTCCTGTCTTACCTAAGAAAACAGTAAGGAAGAGAGGAACCTCAACAACAGCTACTAATCGCATTATTTAAATTCTTACCTGGATAATTTAGACACATGGGTATTATTGAAATAACTAGTCTCTGATATCCATAATTTTGTGAATTTAATAATTATCACTAATATTGTCTATTATCTGTTCATATTTGTTATTGAATATTTTAATCCAAAGGAATGTTTATTCAAGTGTTAAGGAGTTGCTTCTTCAAAAAGAGTTTCATTGCAATTAAGTTAGTTAATGAAGTTGACCAGAACTCATTTGGACTGTAATAGGGTGAAATAATGAGACAAGATAGGTTGGCATCTATTGGAGACATAATGATAAAGCTCATGATGGTGTGTATGTTGGCAGGGTGGGAAGGGGAGGTTGGAAGCAATCAGGGGGTGAGATTTTGAGAAGTAGAGTAAAAGGACAATGAAAGAAAAAGGAGTTTGGCAAAATTATCCAGGGTTGATTGAAGATTTAAAAGACTGAAGGTAGAGAATACAATGAAGTGTAAATAAAATAGATACATTAATAACTAAAATACATAATATGCTATTATAGAATTTTGGGGTGAAAAACAAAGTTTTGTGTTATATTTCATGTAATTGGTTTTTGCACTAATTTTCCCAGGTAGAGTTATAAAATAAAGCTATTTCGTTGTAAATCTTTGTGAAATAACCCAGAATTTATGTTTAAAATTATGTCAAAACCTAAAAACTCAATCCTATCTAATAAAAGAGCAATATGCAAATTAACAATCATTCCACTATACCCACAAGCCACGTCCATCAGCCAATCAGGAGTGATTATGCAAATTAACCCAACCCAAATTGCTTTGGTCACAGAGAGAGCAGCAGGATTGGGTTTCCCTGGCAATGGAGGAAGCCAAGCTTTCCACACATCCTGGCTGCCCCAGACCTTCACTCAAGGCTACAAAGTTTAAATTATAGAAGATAAATAAATCTCGGATACTAGGGCCTCTGCTTGGGTCACCAGGGGGCATGGCTAGCCTGCAAACCACAACAGGACCCTCACCCAGGCTGCCCATGCCCCAAGGGAACCCCCACCCTGATCTGGGATACCCTTCAGGTCAAACCAGCCGCGTGCATCAGGCCTCTAGCCTATCTAATAAAAGAGTAATATGCAGATTGACCATCACTCCAACACATAAGATGGTTTCCCCTTAGTGGTCAAAGATGGCTGCCCCCATGTGGACAAAAGATGGCTGCCACAAGATGGTCATCAGGGGAGGGAAGTTGGGAGGGACCAGGCCTGCAAGGGAGGGCAGTTGGGGGTGACCAGGCCTAAGGGGAGGGCAGCTAGGGGCAAATAGGCTGGCAGAGGAGTGGTTAGGGTATGATCAGGCTGGCAGGCAGAGTGGTGGGGGCAATCAGGCAGGCAGGCAGGCGAGTCGTTGGGACCAGCAGTCCTGGATTGTGAGAGGGATGTCCGACTGCCCATTTAGTCCCATCCTGCTGAAATCAGGCCTAAATGGGCAGTCAGACATTCCCTCAAAGGGTCCCAGATCGGAGAGGGTGCAGGCTGGGCTGAGGGACACACCTACCCATGAACGAATTTCATAATTTCGTTCACCAGGCCTCTAGTTTAGTATAATTTTGTAGAGCTGTCTGGTTATCAAGTTGAACTGAAAGCTTCATATATTTTTAGAGTTCTTTTTGTTTGTTTGTTTATTTGTTTTGTTTTTTGTTTGTTTTTTTACTTTTAAGTTTTAAAAAAGGGATGTGGGGGAAACTTGCATAAATGTGACAACTATGTATCCACCAAATCCTGGAGCTGAAGACTCTTTGGGATGAATGTTTTCTTTTGTGTGAGACTGGAAACATTTAACTGACTCAAATTCCTTTCATGTTGAGACTTAGCATGTTTCATTTATTGAAACATCAATATAAAAAGTGATTTTTGCTGAAGAAATATCTGCTTTTTCAAAATGTTAAATTAGTACTTTTCAGGTTTCATGCTGTGCAAGCTTTTTATTTTTCTTCAGTTTAACCCCCTTCCCTAGATTTATTTTTATTGTTTTGTTTAATGTCCATTAACAGTCAAGTTTTTGGTTTGACTTCAAATTTTTTATAGTTGTGAACATTGACAACATGCTTAATTTCCAGGTCTGGAATATTTTACAATTCTTAGTAGTATATCTAGATATCAATATAATATCTTATACAGTAGGATGAATGGTCTTATCATCTTCTTGTGCTAGTATATGTTCTGGATAGATTTTTATAGGATAAATTTTGACACTAAGAAAAAAGTGAAAAAGTAAGATTACTTAATAAAGGGGAATGTCATTGTACAAACAAGACTATTGCAATGCAAGAAAATTATAATCTATGTGTTTTCTCTGGGTCTTGATTTTCTATAAAAGCAAGAATAGTATAAGTGATTGCTCAAGTACATTACTAATAATCTAGGGAACTGATAACTATTAAATTCAGTAAAAAATAAAATATAGAAAAATAACTTTGGAGCTTTACATTTTTTTATTGTTTAAGCACAGAATTTTTGGTAAAGAGAGCTATAAATGACAGGTTTTTTATTTAAAATTATTAAAACTTGGCACAAGAATTGGTTTAAAAACTAACTGTATTTCTATTTCATTTCTTCTTTGTTGAATCCTGAACTTTATTAGCCCGTGAACTTTAGAACATCCTGAATATTGATGTTAGTTAATTCAGAAAGATTTTCTGTCAAAATATTAAATATTTTCTGACATTAGTTTCTGAAATTACTTTAAAACTCTCGTAGTCACTTACTGTGAGGGTTTCCTTTTTTTCCAGTGTACAACCTTGGTTAGACATGGATTTCTCCTTAGCAATGAGACATTCTAGTTGTAAGCACCTCCAGCTTTTTAGATGCTTAAAAATGTTATAGTTTTTACCTATACACAGAAATTAACATGACAAAACCAAAGATTTAATTAACAAAAGACAATATAACATACTGTGCTCACCTTATAACCATAGTATGTACATATAGAAAATATTATAATCAAGGTAGTGAGCTTTCACATGGCCACGTTCTCTCATTAAGAAGTTGGATGCCCAATGAAGAGCAGAATAAGGATTCAAGTGGGGGCAGTCCACTTCAAAGTTTGCCCTTTGAAGCACCAGGCCATTGTTGAGGAAATGGGTTTATCACATGGCCCATTAAAATCCTATTTTAACCTGTAGCACCTGACAGGGTACATTACACAGAAATAAAACTAGCGCCTACATTAAAAAAAAACAAAAACCCTAAAAACATCAAGTCAGTTTAGAGTACTCTCCAGGCTTCCTTCTTTCTGAAACACCATGGAAACAAGCCAAAACAAGTCAAAAGTGTTTTCTGTTCACATTGAGAAGATTATCCTGCCTTGGATATGTGTGTGTGTGTGTGTGTGTGTGTGTGTGTGTGTGTATTTCTAATATCCAAACCATAAAGAGTTGCTTTTTCTCTGTTTTCCCTTACCCATAGGTGTATATCATTGAGGAATCTGGACTAAATATCCTGGTGTGGTCAGTGGTTGGCAATAAAAGAACCGGTTGGGTATACGGATATGTACATCTCTCCAGTCACAGTCCATTTAAGGTGGCATTTGAAGCTGATTTGAGTGGCGATGAACACATCTTTATTGCCCTTGATGACATCTCCTTTACCCCAGAATGTGTATTTGGAGGTAAGTGATTCCTTCAGAAAATGGGATATGCACGCATTGTTTTTAATATCTAAAAACAGAAGAATAGGGAATTCTGAGGAATAGCATTTTTTTCCATATTCCATCCTAGTTATATATTGAAGAAAGAATAGTCTATATTGTAGGAGGCAAAGATTTTTCTGCCCATGACACTTCACTATGGAATTTTCATGTCATCTGGACAACAAAATAACTTTGACTAAAGTTCTTTTAAAAGCATGGCAGAAATTTGGTTTCATTAATATAGCTTTATTATCTACTTTCTCATGTAGGTTTGCAGTAACTGCATAAGGTAAAGATCTCTCTGGTCACCTATCATATCTCAGACTGTCTTTTCCATTCATATCAACTTTTGCCTTTCCATAGGCTTTTTCCATTCTTCTGTTTCTTCTCTACAATCTAGAATTCTTAATCTCCTTAACTGAAATCTGACCTTCTCCTATTTCCTTAAGTGGCAATTTATTCTCTTTTAAATTTAGTCTTCAAAATTTTAATGCTTGACAATAGGGTCATTATCTTTTTCCTACTTGATGCCTCTCCCAAAATTTTATTCTTCTAGTCACACACTGGGGTTTTTATCTTTTTTATGATTTTTCTTTGGATCCTCAATTCTGGATAATCTTAACTTCCCGGTGATTGAGTTTATATCACACAGTGACCTTCAGTGCTAGTCACCTTCATAAATATTTTTCCTCATTAACCAAATCTCTCATAATTACTTTCTGGACCTTATAACATGCTCTGAAAACCCAGGTTGAAATTTTCATCTAATTCTTATGTTCTCTTCTTCTCAATTACTCCTCCTAAATCTGTTTTTCAACATACTATAATATTTAATAAAGAGGGAATATGCAAATTGACCATTACAACCTCAGAATGATGGCAGTGCCCACAGCCAATAAGGAGGTAATATGCTAATTGACTGCCGTACCCTCAGAGATGGCAGTGTCCACAACCACAAGATGGCAGGGCACAGTCCCCTCTGCCCCACCAGGGCTACAGGCATGTGGAAGTGCTGGGTCCGCCCCAGGTGGGTCCGGCCACTCCATGTTCCTGCCTCCTGAGTCCCCCAGTCCTCTCACCCCCCAGCTGCCTAGGGCTGGCCCAAAGTGTAGGCAAGCCTTAGATGTCAGCTGCCCAGCTGCCCAGGGCCGCCCAAGGCTCAGGTAACCAAGGACGGCCAAGGCTTGTGCTGCCAGCAGCAGCAGCAGCAGCAGCAGCAGCAGCAGCAGCAGAGGTGTGATAGGGGTGTCACCTTCCCCTGATCGCTGGGTCACCTTCTGTCCTTGAGGACTCCTGGACTGTGAGAGGGGGCAGGCCAGGCTGAGAGACACCCCTCCAGTGTATGAATTTTCATGCACCAGGCCTTTAGTAAATAATATGAAAAAAAATTCTAGATTCTCAATGCTTTATGTGCTTTTTATAAAACACCCTCTTTCTACATTCTTTCTAGTAATCCCAGATGTAATTATCAGACACCACAATTCCATTCTAAGTCAGTACTTTGTATTCTCTAATGTCCTACTAGAGGCCCGGCACATACAATTTGTGGGTGGGTACAGTCCCTAAGCTTGGCCTGTGATCAGGGCCATCTTCTCTTGCTGCTTGAAGCTGACTCTGTCCCCCACTGCCACCCACCTCTGGTTCCCCATTCACCATCCAGTGATCGGAGCCTACTGGTCGGGGGGAGAGATCAAGAGGTTGGCCATTCTTGCCTGCTCAATGGCCCCATCCCCTGATCTGTGTGGGGCCATCAGTGGGGTGGGGACCTTAACCTGACATCCACGGCCACCCACCCTTGGCTCCCCTTTCCCCATCATGTGATCAGAGCCTGCCTGCCAGGGAAGTGACTGAGAGGCGCTATTGGGGCCTACAATCAGCAATTGAGGCTATGGGCTGGAGGCAGCTCCTGCATTGAGTGTCTGCCCCCTGGTGGTCAGTGCATGCCATAGCAACATTCTGCCATTTGGTCAAAAGTATATTACCGTTTTATTATATAGGATTCTTTCATTTTAATATAAATATGGGTCCTAATTATGTGCCAGGAACTCTGATGAGCACATTGCAAGTGTTGATCAGGCCATCACTGTAGAATAGATACAAGTATCCAGCTCATGTTTAGTCATAATGACTTTATCAATCTTTAAAATTGAATTGCTATGATCATTTCTATTTTCCAAATTGCTGATGCTTATGTTCACCGGAATAACTAGAAATTTTGGTCCCTTAGCTGGGACTTCAAGGATCCCAGATACATGTGTTTCCCATTCCTGGCACTGAGCTCCTCAAGACCAAGAGGAACTTGTCTCTTTCACAAGACCTAGCAGGCGTCTTCAAACTACGGCCCGCGGGCCACATGCGGCCCGCAGAGGAGTCTGATCCGGCCCGCCAGGTTTTTTGGGCAGTGAGCGCAGCCGAGGTGTTACAGTAGGAATTAGTAGTTCATATAGTCCGGCCCTCCAGCTCTCTGAGGGACCGTGATCTGGCCCCCACTTTAAAAGTTTGAGGACCCCTGATAGAGCATTTAGAACACAATTTAGTGGGGCTTGAGATGAATCACATGACTGCTACTAGTCCACAGATGGGAACAAAGTTGCCAGGGATATGGGAGTGCACAGCTCCTGTTGGACCCCCAAGTGGATAAGACTGCCGCCAAGGCTACAGTCCAGCAAAACTGGAGCCAGGTCATGGGATCTCTTCTGGGTCTGTGACCAAGCCTGCAGATGGCAGACCTGTGGCCGGAGATATACACATGGATGGCTCCCACTCTATCCCTGGGCATGCAGGAGGCCTCTATGACTATCATAGATCAGGGCTGTAGCTGGGTCCCAGGGCTGCTTGTAGATCCGCTGTCTTGTCCAAGAGCAACAGGTCTGTTACTGGGTGAGCTGGTGGGTATGGCTCTCCCCAGGTCCTTGAGTGGCAGGTCTGCCTTCTCACCATGGTATAACATGACTGAAGACAGGTCATAAGTCTGTCTCTGAAACCATAGGTTTAGGTCATTTGATCTATTACCAGGGGCACAGATGGACATGTCTCCTGCCAGATTCTGTGTGAGCACGATTGCCCCTGGACCACAACAGAGCAGGGTTAGAACTGAGTCACAGGATAGCTTCAGGGTCCACAGCCAGGACTAATACTGACAGTCCTGCTTTCCAGGGGCACAAACAAGTGTTGCTGGTCCCTGCATGGGCAGGAATGACTCTAGATTACCATAGAAGGGGTGGTCTAGGGCTGAGCCAGGTCGCAGAACTGCTTCAGGATCCACAGTTGAGTCTAAGGCCAGTGGCCTATGACTAAGGGCACAGACAGGGATGGATCCTCCCAGATCCCTTGGAAGATGGAACTGGTGCAAAATGTCAGCTAAGCAGGGCTGTACTGTATCCATTGGGGGACAGGGCTACTTTTAGTCTGTATCCAGGACTAAAATCCATGATCCCACCACCAAGGTGTGGGCCTGCATTCTCTAAGTGGTTCTCCTGGTCTTGGGCTCCACATGAAGGGTCATAACCTCCTACCTGATTCTTAAATCTCCAGCAAAGACAGTTTGTCCATGGGGAGGCGGTGGGGTATGTGAGCCAGGGACCATCTATTCAACCATCATCCTGATGTCATGCTCCTCATACATAATTTTTAAAGGCTTTTAAAAAGGAAAAATACACACACACATATGCCTCAGTAAGCTTGGATAAAAACACTCTTTACCACTGGCCAGTGTGGCTCAGTTTGTTAGAACTCCCTCTCTGACAGCTACAGGTGGCAGTTCAATTCCCAGTCAATGTTGCAGGTTCTACCCTGGATCAGGGAGCATGCGGGAGGCACTGATCCATGTATGTTTCACTCTCTCATCAATGTTTTTCTCTCCCTCTCTCTTCCTTCCTCTCTTTCTAAAATCAATAAAAGCATGTCCTCAGGTGAGGATTAAAAATAAATGATCTTTATATGTTAGTACTTAGCCAGGAAAACTTCATTTCCTAGTAATGCTGGATAAAGGAAGCATTATTTTCATAAAAACTTCATTTCCTAAAATGCTGGATAAAGGAAGCATTATTTTCATCAAAAAATTCAAACTGATCAAGTTTTGATAATATGCTTACACAAATTTTCTCTTATGTTGAATAAGAATGCAAAAAAGGCACACAGCTTTCCTGTAAAATATTGTTGTAAAAGGACACAAAAATTCCGATAGTATAGGATCTGTTACTAGGAATGTTTATTAAGAAAAGGAAGAGAAAAAAGTTTAAATATATTGTTTTCCTGTATTCACTTATGTGCGTGCTTCATTCAGCCCTCAGAGAAGGTGAAACCATCTATACTTTCAAAACTGCTTGCTTTTTCCATCTTTCCTTAGATTCCATCTACATTCAAATGAACTAAGTAGCTAAATTAACTTAATTTTTTTCAGGTCTTATAATATGACATCCAGATTATTACAGTTAGCATACCAGCTTTTTTCTCGTGTCCCAGTTAACATCCTGAGATTAAAAATAGCCCTCAACCTCCTTTCAACATCATATTAGTTTTTTTGAAGTCTTATCTACCCTCCTGTTTCCACTCCAAAAATATACACTTTCCCATTAATAAAGGAATAGACAGCATTTGTCACCACAAGTTACATGTGGTTTTCTTTCCATTTAGAAGGTTGTCCTGTAACAGTAGCCCCTCCACCACCCTGAAGAATCTTTGCTTTCTGCATTATTACTTCTCCACTCTCCCTTTAATTACTTTCAGTTTCCCAGGACATTTTCTAAATGGAGGCATTCTCCATGCAATAAAACATCTCCAGCAATTCTGAGTCAGCAGAGAAATGTATTTATTTTCACAGTCTGTTTTCTTTAGCCATGTGAGTGTCCAAGGATAGGAGATCTGTGCTATTTTCTCCTATAATTTGAAACAAAGAGGATCACATTTTTTCCAAGATGAAGAAACATTTTGCAAAGCAGATAGGATATATAAGGTGTTTTAAAGTATTTGAAACAACA